GGTTGGTTACAAACTCCTTTAATTTTTGTCTGGGAAACTTTTTATCTCTCCTTCTATTTTGAATGACAGCCTTGCTGGATAAAAAATTCTTGGCTGCATATTTTTCTGATTCAGCACATTGAATATATCCTGCCACTCCTTTCTGGCCTGCCAAGTTTCAGTGGATAGGTCTGCTGCAAACCTCATCTGTCTTCCCTTGTAGGTTAAGGACTTTCTTTCCTTTGCTGCTTTCATGATTCTCTCCTTGCCTGATTATTTTGTGAATTTGACTATGATATGCCTTGTTGATGGTAGGTTTTTGTTGAATCTAATGGGAGTCCTCTGTGCTCCCTGGATTTTGATATCTGTGTCCTTCCCCAGGTTAGGAAAGTTTTCCACTATGATTTGCTCACATAACCCTTTTACCCCTTTTTCTCTCTCTTCATCTTGTGGGACTCCTATGATTCTGATGTTCCTTTTTAATGAGTCACTGATTTCTCTGATTCTTAAATCAGTCTCTTTTGCCTTGGTTTCCCTCTTTTTTTCTGCTTCATTATTCTCCATAAGTGTTTCCTCTTTTTGTATGATATGCTGCTCTTCCTCATCCTTTCTTGCCGCGGTGGCATCTATTTGAGATTGCAGCTCAGTTACAACATTTTTTATTTCATCCTGACTAGCTTTTACTTCTTTTATCTCTGCAGAAAGGGATTCTAATCTGTTTTCAACCCCAGCTTGTATGCTTATTATCATGATTCTAAATTCTGGTTCAGACATTTTGCTTGTATCTGTGTTGATGAAGTCCCTGGCTGTCATTTCTTCCTGTTCTTTCTTTTAGGGTTAATTCCTTCATTTCATTTTGAAGGGAAAAAAGGAATTAATAAAGTAAAAAAAACAATTAAAGAATTAAATACAACACAAAAAGTCAAATAAATGATGCTAGATCCTAGGTGAGTTTTGGTCTGGTTGTTGAAAGAAATTTGATTAGAGAAAAAAAGAAAAGGTAAGAAAAGGAAAAAAAAAAGGAAAAAAAAAGGAAACTGCTTGAAAATTTGAAAAAATAAATACAATAAAATAGAATAAAATGAAATTATGGAAGTAAAGTAGAATATAAGAAATTTACAAAGAAGTAAAAATTAAATTAGAAAAAAATTAAATTTTTTAATAAAAATGGAAAATAAAAATAAATTTACTCTTTCTGTATTCAAGGATAAGAAAAGAAAATTGAATAGATGGACCAGCGAACAGAATCGAATATGTTTGAAATTACATCTAGTTTCCCTTAGAAGTCAACTATGAAGCGCTTTGTAGTCTGTAAACTAAGCAGGTGGAGAGACTTGTGGTGTTCTTCAAGTGCTAGGTTAACCCAGTTGGGCGGGGTTTAGTGTAATGGCTCTGTTCTCCACCAGGTGACACTGCTTATCTTACTATGCTGGATTGCTGTGGCACGTGTAGGGCTGTGTGCCTATTCCCCAAGGGGTGAAAATGGCATCACCCAACTACCCAGTCTCTAGTATCAGACTCTGTGCTCTCCCTGACTGGCAATCAAGTATCTCTCCTTTGTCTTTGGCTTTGTCTGATCCCTGTTTCTATACTGTCCATGACCAAGCCATCAGGCTGCTAGGCAACACCTCCTTCCTGGGTTTTATCTCAGATGGGGCTGTGTTTCCCAACCCCTCACTTCTGAGGGACTGCGGCTTTGACCCATTCTGAACCTCTGGGGGAGGGTCTCGCTGAGCAATGGCTGGGTGCTGGCCACCCCCAGGAACATTCGTTAGTTCGTTTCGTTTCCAATGCCCAGAGACTGCAGCTGGGAGCCAGCCTGCCTGAGAAGAAGTTCGTGGATTGTTAAGGAGCAGCATTTCAGGGATTATGGCAAATCAACACACATGTGGCACCAGGCTTCACCCTCAACGTCCTCGCTCCAACACCAGTGAATGTGGCCATTCTCTGGGATCTGTTGATTTGCCTCTACCAAATGTCCTCCCAGCAGGGAACCACCTCTCCCATGTGGCTCTTGGACCTTGTGCTCTGCTCCTGGAGATTCGCCCTTCCCACCAGAGCTCTGCCAGGTATTGAGCTGCGGAGTTTCAGACTCTGTGCTTCCCCTGTGTATAGAGTGTTAATGGAATTTAAATCCTCTCCTTTCTCCTTCCTCCCTTTTTTGTTCAATCCCTATGGCTGTTTCCACTGTTCCTTTTTCTCTCCAGCTGCTTTTGGGGGGCTGGTGCTTTTTCCATACTCTCCCCTGGTCAATCTCCAATCTGTCTCTGCCAGCAAAACCATCTTCCTGCCCTCCATGGCTTCTCTCTCCCCCAGTTCACCTTGTGCTGAGTACTTGAGTCTATGGTTCAGGTTGTGCAGATTGTTGTGTTAATCCTCAGATCAGTTTTCTAGGTGTGCAAGGTGGTTTAGTGTTGATCTGGCTGCATTTTAGGGAAGAGACGCAAAAAAACTTCCATGCTGTTCTGCCACCTTGGTCCCTCCCGCAACTAACTGGGATGTAGTTTTTATATTTGATAGGCAACATGACACTTCATTCTTTAAGTTTATATTCCTTTATCCATGATGTTGAGCATATTTTAACAAAATATTTGTTAGCTACTTATGAATTTGATGTGAAATGGAAAAATAGGACATCCAAGACTGTGGAAACGGTATTAAAGAAAAAAACATTAGGGACAACATATGTTTAGGAAATAATATAGCACTTCGTACATTCTGTATTACATGGACCATGTTTTATTGTTTTAGAATTGCTTGCTTATATGGTTTGAACTCTTTAAGGACAGAGACTACTTATCTTTGAGGTTCAGACATTATCACATACACCTGAGCGTTAGATATTGCCTGACTCAATAACAAATAGCTGGCTGGCCTTATAGAAGGTGGATTAGGAAAGTAGGATATTTTCAACTCATAGAGAGGGTATTGATACCTTGTACGCAGAATACTAATAATTTGGAAACTTCATTCCATTGGCATGAAGAACCTGTAGAACAGGGCTCCTGCTCTGGTAGTTGCTCTTCTTGTAGGTCTGTATGGTCTCTAGCCTTTCAAAGACACAGTGGAAATTGTGCTGTTCTTTAGCAGAACATGGAAACTGGAGGTCAGAATTAGGGAAGAGGATGGAAGATATTAGTTCCTCATTCAGTCGGGGAGCAGAACCTTTATGAGGTATGGGATAAGGGATTTATTATACAAACAGACCTTATGCAGTTGTCAGTGGCTGGAGAAGTGAAGGGCCAGGATGAAGTTTGAGTCAGTAAACCTGAGAAGCCAAGCACATCCAATCACTGAAATGGGGCTGCAGAAGGGAGGCTTGTCAGTGGCAGGGGGTGGGGGTTGCCTGTGGGAGGCTCTGCCACTGTAAACACAGTCCCTGTAGGCCAACCAGTCAGGAACAAAGAAGACATGACAGAGTGGAGGAGAGTAAGGACAAGCTGGAACTTGTTGGCAGCTCTGTGTCTGTCACCACCTCTTGCCACAGTGACTGTCAGAATAACAGCTAGTGATTCATTTCTACCTTGCAGGTTTTGTAAAAATTCCTCCCCACCCCCCACTCCAAGCCAGAACTCGTACAGGAAAGAGGATACTTGGAAAGGTGGCTCCAGTTTAGCAGATTGACACAGTGCAATTCAGTGCAATTCCACACAGGACTTTAGGAGGATACTCCAAGGGTGACGGAAATTGAGGCTTATAACTAGGTTCTACAGGGGAGGAAAGGAGGCCTAATGACAGTGATTGGGGAAGATCTGAGAAGAGAAAAGTATGGAATGCTAAATCTGAGAGAATAACCATGAGCATAGTGAACCCCCATAAGTACCAAAACATGCCCTGTTTCTGATCTGTGGATGTGATGAGCATAGCCCTGGTGTTGAAGTCAGAATCTTACGGAGTCATACTTCCTACAGGTACACTTCCTATAATTTTATATATATATAAATCTATATATATAAAATATATATAATCTATTATATAAATCTATATTACATAGATTTATATTATATAATCTATAATATATATTATATTATATCTATTATATTATCTATTTATTGATATATTATATCTATATATATCTATATCTATTATATTATATTATATCTATATATTATATCTATATATTATATCTATATATATCTATTATATTATCTATATATCTATATATATTATATCTATAGATATCTATATATCTATATATATATCTATTATACAATCTATAATATATATAATTATATATATCTATATATATAATATATCTATATATATATAATCTATTATATAAATCTATATTATATAGATTTATATTATAAATCTATATTATACAAATCTATATATATAAAATCTATATGTGTATATATATGTGTATATATGTGTGTATATATATATATACACATACAGATTAAGCTAATTTATTTATTTTGAGAAAGAGAGAACACCTGCAGGGGAGGAGCAGAGAGGGGAGAAAGAAAAATTCCAAGCAGGCTTTGGGCTAGTGCAGAGCCTGACATGGAGCTCAAACTCACAAACCATGAGATCATGACCTGAGTTGAAATCGAGTCAGATGCCTAACTGGCTGAGCCCCTCAGGTGCCTCCCTCATCCCATATTTAAATGATGGTGGTTTTAGGAGTTCTACCTGTGGCCTGCCGCTTTTCTTCTCAAAATATTTTTCCTACACTGTTTCATTCATAAGTATGTGTTCAATTACCAACTAGGTACCAATTTTCCTAAATCCCTATTTCCAGATAGTTTCCCTAAGCACCAGTGATAAAATACCAGCTTACTAGGCTGTATGTGTCTCAGACCCTTAATATCCAACATGCCTGAAACACAGTAAATAGCAGAGCTATTAAATAGCTAGTAAATAACAGAGCCAAGATTTGACATCTTAATTGGTATTTTGCTTCAAAGGCTGTTGTCAAGTTTCTTCTCTGAGATTCAGTGACCCCATCTGGAAAATGGAGACAATATTACGACCTACTTTGTAGGATTGTTGTGAGGTTTAAATGAGTTAACATACAGGGGCATCTGGGTGTCTCAGTTAAGCATCCGACTTTGGCTCGGGTCATGATCTCACAGTTCATGAATTCGAGCCCCTCCTCAGACTCTGTGCTGACAGCTCAGAGCCTGGAGCCTCCTTCAGATTCTGGGTCTCCCTCTCTCTCAGCACCTCCCCTGCTTGTGCTCTCTCTCTCAAAAATAAATAAAAACACTAAAAAATTTAAAAAAATAAATGAGTTAACATACGTCCTCCCTGTGGTACAGGACAGAGACAAGTAGGACAAAACTCAGTTATGCTGATATTCCAGCTGTGTGACAGCTGGAATTTGAACTCAGTCATCCTGGCTCCTTAGCTTGTACTCTTATCCTTTCTGCTGATGCGCTACTGCTATTTCAGAAATGTGAAATGCTGCCAACAGCTTCACCTTTATCAAACATCAATTTGATCACATTACAGTAGTTCTCCCTCATCCAAGGTTTTGCTTTCACGATTTTGCTTTTCGCTGTTTCGGTTACTCTCCTCAGTCACTGTCTGGAAGCAGATGATTCTCCTGGTGAATTTTTAGGAAGTCATTTGTAGCCTAACACTACAGCACGACGCCTACGTCATCCCCCTCACTTCATCTCATCATGTAGGTGTTTTATCATCTCACATCATTACAAGAAGAAGGGTGAGTATAGTACAGTAAGATGTTTTGAGGGAGAGAGAGACCACATAACTTAAATTACAGTATGTTGTTTTAATTGTTCTGTTTTATTAGTTACTGTTGTTAGTCTCTTACTGTGCCTAGTTTATAAATTCAACTTTATCATAGGTATATATATGTATAAAAAGACAGTATATGTAGGGTTTGGTACTATCCAGGGTTTCAGGCATCCACTGGGGGTCTTGGGCAGAATTGCCAGTGAATAAAAGAAGACTACCCTATTTCCTTATTTAAAGCCTTAAACAGTTCTGTAATTCCAGTAAGACACTCTTTCACATGGTCACAGCCTTCATGTTTTGTCTGTTCATTTGTATTGCCTCATTTCTGCTCTTTTCTCCTTGAAATCCTAATGCATGGCACCCCCAACATATTCTTAATATCTGGATATTTTCCACACTCTTTCATACCTCAGTAATTTTGCACTTGTGGTTCCTTCTGCTTGAAACGTGCTGAAGTGTTCTCAAGTGTCCTTTGAGATTCAGCTTAAATGTTACCTCTCTTGTAAAACCTTCCTGAGCTCAATTGAAGTACCTTTTGATATGTCTGTCTTTATACTCTCAGAGCCCTGGTGACATTGTGTTTGAATTCTTTGCTAATTTCCTTTGGGTTGTGAGCTTTTTGAAGGTACCCATTTTTGTGGTCTTAGATCCTAGCTCAGGACCTGACACAGGTGCTCAATAAATTTACATGGAACGGATGAACAAACTTTGAAAGAATGTTTATGCTGTTCCCATGGTAAACACCTTATCTGGTGCACCATAATGACTGCATCTTGGTGTCAGGATTCTGTTAGCATGTTATTTCCTACTTAGTGTTCTACTTATGTCTGTGATTTGTAGTCACTGAGTGTCGATGTTGAAAGTGATGTGAGAGGCAATTTCTTCCAATACTCTATCAATTTAATTTGATCTGTTTTGTCTCTAGATGTGTGTAACTGCAATTGCCATTGTGTCATATGTCACCTTTCTTCTTGTGGCAGCCTGTGTCACCGTATCAGGCTGCGAAATCTCCCTTGATATCCAGGACAGGGAGTTCTTCCCCTCTGCCAGTGACTTGCCAGCCTGTTGAGTATTAGGGAACTAGAATCCCAAATACTGGCAGGCCACAAAACCTGAATTAGAAAGATTCATTCTTTCTAATATTGATCCTCTATGCTCAAGTGTTTATTTATATTTATATTCTCTTAAAATATTGAACAAGGATGCTATTTTTTTCCTCCCAAATGAAACTGTATTGTTAAGATCACTCCATCTATAAGCCAGAATCACATTTTCACTTTCCTTATCACTTGGTTGGTTTTTGACACACTCTTAGCTCCTGGGAGATTTGCATAGAGCTGGCATTCATGGGAAAGTTCTCATACAAAATTGTGCTTGTGTATGGATGTGTGGATGGAAGTGATGGAATGGGAAAGAGTGGGAAGATACAGGAGAAAGAAATCTACTCAGGTCTCCTACCCAACATGGGAGGCAGCATTATGCAGTGGGAAGAAAATTGGATTGTGGTGTTCTGTTCCCTAATTATAACATTCTTTTTCATTTAACTTCAGGAAGTTAATTTTTTTTTTTTGAGAGAGAGAGGAGCATGGGCAGGGGAGAGCTACAGAGGGGATAAGAGAGACAGAGAAAGAGAGATAGTGTCAGGTACTGAGCTAGGATCTAAGACCACAAAAATGGATACCTTCAAAAAGCTCACAACCCACAGGAAATGAGCAAAGAATTAAAACACAATGTCATCAGGGCTCTGAGAATATAAAGACAGACACATCAAAATCTACTTCAATTGATCTCAGGAAGGTTTTATAAGAGAGGTAACATTTAATCTGAATCGAGAGAGAGCGAGAGAGAGAGAGAGAGAGAGAGAGAGAGAGAGAGAGAGAAACTTAAGCAGGCACCACACTCAGGGCAAAGTCTGATGCAGGGCTTGATCCCATGACCCTGGAATCATGACCTGAGCTGAAATCAAGAGTTGGATACTCAACTGACTGAGCTACCTAATTTCAGGAAGTTAAATACACAATAGCATAAAATTGTGAAGTTACCAAAAAAAAAAAAAAAAAAAGGTAATAGCAGCAAGCTTCATTTCCCCTCCTGACTCCTAGTTCTCTTGATGTAGCAACCACTCCATTTTCTTATGTTTTCTTCCACAGATAGTCTGTGTATATGTCAGCCTAGTGGCCTATCACTTAAAATATACAAGTAATACTATTTGTGTGATCTTAGGCAAATCTCTTGAACTTCAGCATTAACGTCTTTAGATTATTAGATGGAAATACTGATACATCCTGGACAAAACCCACAGGGATTTTATGACAGTCAATGAAGTGCTATTTGTGAACTTGCTTGAAAATCATCAGGTATTTTACAAGTACAGGATGGAGGGGAGGGTAATCATGGAAGTAGTATTGTTCTATAAAGGACAATGGGTCATGTGTGATCTGGTCTGACAGGTGTGAGTCTGAATTAGTAGCAGGGATGTTGTATCCGCAACACCCTGAATAACTCCATTGGGTGTGTTTTCCAGCCTGTAAGGCCTGTCACTCTCATGGCATTTTCTTGGGGTTTTCTACATGGCTAATCAAGAGGTATCCCTTTCACCTTAATTGCCAGGTATGTGTGCACTTGGGATAAGCAGTGGACGCTTGCCAGTGTGTGAAACTCTGCTGCTTCTCTCCCTTTTGCTCCCTTTTCATGTTTAGGGAATTAGTACTAGAACTTGGCTGATGCAACAGTTTGAGTCATGGTCCCCCAGTGCTGTGAGATCCATTCACTTTTAATTGGTAGTTGCTGGAATCATTTCTCCTTTCCTCACCTTGACTTCCTTTTCTAATTGGCTCTCACGGGCCTCCAACTCCTGCTTTAATCAGCCAAGGCAGAGCTGCTGCTGAGAGTCCCAAACTGGCACCTGGGGACCCCAGGATCTTTTGCTATGACTCTGCTTCTTCAAGTTTCTTTTCTAATCTGTTAAAGCAACTTTGTCTTTCAATTAGGCCTGGGGGAATGGGAACCCATTGGGCATTGCTTTCACACAGGGGCAGCATGAACAATGCCAACCTCTTTGAGACTTGCCAACTACTGTATTTGACCTGCAGGTTTTTTTGTTCTTGCTAGCACAGAGGGGAGAAGAAGATACTTGATTGAGGTCTCAAAAATGGGACAAATGAATGATAGGAGAAATGAGTAGATGAAAAGACTAATCATTTGAGGAAAGGTTATCATGTGAGCCTCTACATTTTGGTCCACAGAGTGCTTCTCTCTAGCAAAAAAAGCCTTGTGGAAATCTTACTTTGCTTCTGTTTATCACTGCGCAAAGGAGAATAAACACTAATTGTGCAGTTTTGGCCAATTATCATTATTGGGTTGCAATTTTTTAAGATTATTTTTTAAATATAGTTTATTTTTTTAAGGCAGTTTTAGGTTCACAGCAAAGTTGACTGTTGAGTTCCCATGTACCTTCTACACACACACACACTTCCCCAACCATCAAGATCCTGCATTAGAATGTTACATTTGTTATAGTCAATGAACTTACATCCAAAATCCATGGCTTGTTTACATTAGGATTCACTCTTGAGGTTGATTGTATATTCTGTGGATTTTGACAAATGTCTAATGACTTGTATCCACCATTTTAGTATCATGCAGAATAGTTTCACTACCCTAAAAATACTCTGTTCTCCACCTATTCATCCTTCCCTTCTCATCTAACCCTTAACAACCACGGGTCTTTTTACTGTCTCCACAGTTTCACCTTTTCCAGAATGTCATACAGTTGGAATCATAGAGTATATAGTCTTTTGGGGTTGACTTTTTGGGTTACATTTAAAAAAAAATTTTTTTAATGTTTGTTTATTTTTGAGAGAGAGAGAGACAGGGTGTGAGCAGGGGAGGGGCAGAGAGAGAGGGAGACACAGAATCTGAAGCTGGCTCCAGGCTCTGAGCTGTCGGCAAAGAGGCCGACACGGGGCTCGAACACATAAGCCTTGAGATTATGACCTGAGCTGAAATCGGACATTCAACCAACTGAGCCACACAGGTGTCCCTTCTTGGATTACATTTTTAAATGACATTTAAAAACATTTTTTAAGTATGATTTTAAAGCTATGATACAGAGTAAATTTATCTCCTGTGGCATATACAAGCACATTCTTGTGACCTCTTTCTGAACAAATGGATACTGCTGAAGGAAATTGTCCTGGTTCCAGCTCACCCTTGGAGAAGCAATGCAGTAGTAGACTTGACTTTGAGTGCTTTATACCAATGCTTTTTGGCCAGGCTACAGTCAAGGTCCAGGATGGAAGACTTCTCTAAGGGTTGAATTGTGAC